CGAGTGTCAGTGCAGCATAAGGAAGAAGCTTGTCAGATAGAGGTTATATATATATATATATATATATATATATATATATATGGGTATAGGTATATATATGTGTGTGTATACATATATATATACACACACACATATATGTATATATGCATATATAAATATATATATATATATTTATATATATACATATATGTGTGTGTGTATATATATATGTACACACACACATATATATATATGATGCTGGAAAGTTTGCTTGTGTATTGAAGATAAAGATTGGAGATGAATTTAAGATTAGAATTCAACTGAAATTGGCAAAGGGATATGGTGGTAACCCTAAACTTGTGTGATTATGCAGTTGTAGATAGGCACTATTTGATTCTTAGAGAACTATGTAGGATCTGAAGATATGACAATAGCAGGGGATCCTTGATTCCTGGAGTTGTACTCTATTGGTAAAGATTGCTGAGATTGTATCTGCAACTTGATAATTAACACTTTGTCTGTATATTAACATGGTGGCCGTTTGGTTCTGATGATTCCATCATTTACGTGGAATTTTCCTAAATTGGTGATCTCTCCTCCTCTTGATTCCCGATTGCGTGCCCTGGTTTCGTTTTTACTCCCAGCTCTGATCTGTTGGTGAAGATCTAGGGTTTCTAGGTTTGTTGCTGCATAAAAGATCTTTTTAAGCCAAATGATTGCCACTTTGGACGTTTATCTTGCAGCATAAAAGAAGATTAATGTGGAGAGAGACTGTTAAGCAATTTTTTTCTGAAGAAACATTTACAGGAAGTTAGCCCTCCAGCGACACCCTGACAAGAACAAGTCCATAGGGGCAGACAGTGCTTTCAAGCTCATGTCTGATAAGAATTGGAAAATGGAATATGACCAGTTGAGAATTGTCAATGGTTTTCAAAACCAAGGTTCTCAACCGAATGGAGATCATTCTGTTCGTAGTTCTGCCATTGGTTTCTGCTCATTTTCCCACACCACATTGTCCAATAAAGGGCCTCGAAATAGCAACAGTTCTGCTCCAGTAAATTTGAACAGATTTTGGGCATCATGCGATTATTGAAGAATGCAGTATGAATACTCTAGGATTTTCTTTAATCACAATCTTTTATGTCCCAATTGCCATCAAGCCTTCGTGGCTATTGAGCTTGGAATTCCAGGTAATGCAGCAAATTCTTCTATTTCTTGGTTAGCTAAGCGATGCCCACAGAATTTGAACCATAATTACATTGCTGAAAATTGCTGGTTTCAAAGGGGGCCCAAAGGAGGTTAATAGGATCACAAAAGAAGAGATGTTTCAATTTTCGCATCAGGTACCTTCTTATTTGCTTACGGGTGAAGAAGCTCATAATGCTCTGAAGGCCTGCTTTGAATTGGACCCATCCACAACTCATGTTGATCTGATTTGGAAATTTTATAAGGCACATGATGAACCTTTGGCATCAAACATAGTGGACTTGTTGCAAAATGAAGTTTCATCGAGCTTCTAAACTCCATTTCATCATCCCAGGGTAGTTGGGCTATTCACGAATCTTATATGACAGTTGATTCTTATCCCAATATACATGGAGGTTGTTGCTGGAATAGCAATCAATTTTTGGAGACCATATTATCTTGTTGG